AAAAATCTTTATTTATTTATTTATTTATTTATTTATTTTGGGGGGGGATATGTTTAAAATGAATGTTCTTTTTGTTGCAGTCACTGGTAGGCTCACCTGAACTCAGAAATAAAGTTGAAGCTTGAGACTGAAATGCGGAAATAATAGTTTTATATTCTTGAAGACAACATTAGGGCCAATAACAGGACTGGATTGACCTGTTAGAGTTGCCTAAAGTTGGATTGTGTCAGCTCAGTTAAGCACAAAGCACAGCACACAACCCAGACAACAGCATGGCAGCTTCATTGTTTTTGATCAATTACCGACCAAAGCAGCCCTTTTGCACTTTGGGATGATTTTCTGAAACCCATTGACATTTGAAAATGCAACGGACTCAGAGCCAGCTGAGAACCTTTGACACGAAAGAGACCAGCTTAAAAAAAAAAGATGGCATCTAGACCTGCAATATAATACAAATAATTTTAAACCTAAACACCTTAAATTAAATAGGTTTACATGATTGTGGATTTTTGACAGCAGAATAATTGTCAGTCACCTTTTGCCTTCATATTTTCAGGTTCAATTGGGTTCAAAAAAGAGATTGAATAGGGGTAGTGCTTTTATACAAGCTTATTTGTTTAATTGTTGACTTTTTGTTGTTGTTGTTGTTGTTGTAATCTAAAGATTAATCTTTTAGATTTACTAAAGAAAATCTAAAAATTTGTTTGTGGTTTAAGTTGAATAACTTGACATACCAAAAAGTACTTCTGTGATGCTACCGAAGAATGGCTGGTTGGTCATTTGAAACCCTGCCAAACTCTGCAAGGAAAACTCAAAAAGCATTTCCAAAAACTGCAAACTCAAACTTTGTGATTACTCTAAGTAATCTAACAGGCTTTACACTGTTGTTGTAATGTTGTCTTCATTGTCCAAACCATTCTTTCATTCAAAGGCAGGGACCTCGGCCACTACATCGCATATGACCCAGGTGCTGTTTTTCTTTCTTTTTTTTTGTTGTTTTTTTGTTTGAGATCTTTTGATTTCATCTTTTTCCAAACTTTGTTAAAAATGTATTGTGAGAACAGCTATCTTCTCCGTAGAGCACTGCTGTCCTCCATTAGAACCAAAAATCCTTTCATAGAGGGGCAACAGCCCTCACCATTAAACTGAAGATTGCCTGACAGTGTTGCTTTTGTAGCTCCTTATAGTTCTACTTTTCAACTGTGAAAGTTCAAAACAGAAATTCAAAGCACAGCTAAAACTACATATCAAGAAAGCAGTTGTTCCCTGCTGACATCAAGTGCCTCTATTCTGATTTGAACCAAGAATCCTTTGATGAAGAGGCAGCAACTTTCACCACTTTGCTTCACGCTAGCCCAGTGGTTCTCAAGTCCAGTCCTCGAGGCCCACTGTCCTGCATGTTTCGGATGTTTCCCTGCTTCAACACACCTGATTCAAATGATTAGCTCGTTATTAAGCCATTACAGAGCTTGATAACGAGCTGATCATTCGAATCAGGTGTGTTGGAGCAGGGAAACATCCAAAACATACAGGACAGTGGGCCTTGAGGACTGGACTTGAGAACCACTGCGCTAGCCGGTCAGTTTTTGCTTTCTTTAGCCCTGATTCTTTCTATTTCTTGACGGTGGAAGTTTAAAGCCATGACATTGAGACATAATTCACCAAAAAGTGACATATTTTCTGCTTAAAACACAGGATAAGCAAAAAAAAATTAACTCACATCACTTACATACGTTTTACAAAGAATTTTCAAATGTGTTGTTTTCGTAAGAGCTTAATCCACATAATTTTCATGTTTTTTTTTTTTTTTGTTTGTTTGGTTTTTTTCTTCACTCAAATATAACTATTTTGACACCTTTACTTAAGAAACTGCTGCTATCCTTTGGTAATACCCTTATCTTTCCAAATTTACAGGCTGTTAACCTTATTCAACTAGGAGGAGATGCACTGGTGTCTTTTATTCCATGCCTTAACAAATCAACCAATAAAGGCTTCGAAGCCATAATATAATGTCAAATATGGCTATCAGTGATTTCAGAGAGCACCTTGGGCAGTACAGCCACTTCCTTACCTGTATCCACAAGTACACACAAAGAGGACTAATAAAGATCTTATGGACTATACAGCTTACATTTTGTCCCATAATAAACACTAACTTTTTTTTTTTAACACCCACGCTTCTGCTGCATGCAGAGCTGGACACTCACTGTGGTTGGCTAATAATAGTTTTAACCTTTCGTTTGTTCTCAGCAGAGCAGCGGATAACGCCTCCTCATTAGTAGCCTTAGTGACCACAGTGCTCTAAAGACAGACAGACAGACAGACAGACAGACAGACAGACAGACAGACAGACAGACAGACAGACAGATAGATAGATAGATAGATAGATAGATAGATAGATAGATAGATAGATAGATAGATAGATAGAAGTTTGGATGACTTTAAGTTTAAGTTTTATTTTTTTTTAATTAATTTTCCTGAATATTACCTCTGTGTGATCTTATTGTGTTTCTCTATTAGTGTGTTTAAATTGTATTACTTTACACAAGTTTTATTAGGGACAGTTCTTGACTTATCAGCTGATCAATCTGTTTGATTACAATTTACGATTTTGACTCAATTCAATTTATTAAAATTGAGTTACCACATAGTTGCCTTGTTTTAATGACAAAACAAATGTACTTGGATTGAGTTGGAGGAATACATAAAAAATAAACTTAAAGCTCTTATGGGGGACTTTTGGCTTGTGTTCATTTTGGTATTTCTTATGGATGACGCAGCACATCTTTAGTCTTTGCTGATGTTATCCTCTAAAAATGTAAAACATGCCGTCTGACAAAGAATCCTGCTCTTAAACGCTCAATCATAGCACTCATTGCGAATCTTTGCAATGAAAATTGTTACTATAGATGTTTTCCACAGAGTACTGCTAGAAGCCGAATCCAACACCTTCCCCTTTATAGTAATAACATTAAAAAGGACCTCACGTAAATGGCCAGTCTTCAAGCCTGTTGTATGGTTTGCTTTTGCAGGTCAGGGAGAGGCACCCATTTATTTTTTAAAATTTTTGTCTGTCTCATAACCAGTAAAAATGCTTTAACCCTTACATACTGTTCGGGTCAAATTTGACCCGTTTTGACTTTTAACAGCAGTAAAAATACCCTAAACATCATTCTTTAAGTAACATTATCAAATAAGAGATATAACTTGTTTGGGTCTCCATCTATTTGCAATACAGTGGCTAAATACAACATATTTCTTAACTGTTGTAATTGCCTGAATGGTGTTGCAAAATCATCAGTGAAAGGGCAGCTGTGAACTTTTTTTCCTTAACAACAAAGAAAATATTGAAGCACCTGTGAGAAACTTTCTGTTTTTGTCAGTTTTTGCACGCCCTGTGGATAAAGCAGTCTTTACCAATCTTGACTTTTACAAGCTTTAACATTGTCTCCTGATAAAAGAAACAGGGCTGATTCTTCAGATACTTGACTGACACCTGCCCCCAGAGCCGGCCCAAGGCATAGGCAAACTAAGCACCTGCATAGGAGCCCCCCCCCCCCCCCCCCCCACCCCCCACAAGAGCAATAAAAAAAATGCATGTGTGAGTGATGCTTTCTGTATGATCCAATATATATAATAATAAAAATAAAATAAAGTAAAAATATTTTTATGCTGGTGCTGATGTAGATCTATGATTCTTACTGCCGATATGTCAAAGCTCCGCTACCGTTATGTGCTTCCTGCTGTGCAATGTCCACTGACCATCCAAAGCACAGGTAGTTGTTGGGCAAGACAATGTCACAAATAAGGACGTATCCTTCAGGAGCAGAGAGAAGAAAGAGGAAGAAAGGGGAAGAAGATGAAAAACGCCAAGGTAAAGGTATGTTCGCATGTAATAATAACAACTTTATTTGTATAGCACTTTAAACAAAAAAAACAGACGTTTACAAGGTGCTTTGACATGTAGTCATAAAGCACATGGAAAAAGACTAATTAAAACTAAAAAAGCTCAGTAAAAACGGAATTGAAGGCCATTTTCATGTCATAAGGAACCCAGACAATACAAGAACCATGCAATGTAAAATGAGAACATGAGGACCAAAATAAAAACATAAAATAATTAAGAAAAAAGGGAAAGTGTAATAAAAAGGGAGGACGAAAGCAGCACAGAATAGTAAATATAAAAGGCAATAAAATGATAACAGGTAATCCTGATATTAAAAGTCATGTCATGGAATGTTAATCAAAGAGATTTGTGAAGGTGTGTGAATGATCAAAAATCAATACTATTGGCAGAAATAGTGCTTGCTAAATGCTTGCAAGCCCCACTGAGGCTCGGACCAGCTCTGCATGCCCCCTTACACGGGTTTGAGGCATTAGAAATCATCAGATAAAAATGATCAGTCATGTCACAGATGGTTTTGTTTGCTTTTTTGTATCATAAAAAGGCATGAATGTAAATTTTGTTTTATTTTATTACTGTGAAAAAAAAATTACAGGAGCTTTAAGTTTCAATCAATTCCTTTAGTTAATTTTTGTTCATTCTCCTCCTATTATGTGAAGTGTTGCCCCTGATCTCCCCTCCCGCTGAATTGTGGAGACAGCATCTCATCCTCACACTCGGGACGGATACAAATGATGTGTCCAGCGCATGCGCCCTGACAGAGAGGAGGAATCGTGGCTCCGTTAGCATCCTGAGCTAGCGGACTGGTAGGGGAGCACGGTGTGGAGGAAGGCGACCTGCGCACTGTCGGCAGAGATATCGGCGACTTCAAATACCCCCCGCTAATCCTTGAGCTAACCATTATCCCTCCATGCAGCCCAGGAAAGACAGATAACGGTAATAGCCCCGCACTGCCACCTTAATTAGCCACCGTGCGAGGAGGAGGGGAAGGGAAACTGCGTTTTGCGTGAAGAGTCTTCCTCCTCTCTGGCAGCAGAGTCAATTTTGAATCTTGAGAAAACAGCATCAACCTCGGCTCACATTACTCCCTTGAAGAATGAGGTTGCCGAGTCACAGACAGTGTGCGGTGGAAGGAGATGGGAAGAAGATGGACCAAGCTCCTCCGATTAGAAACCCCTTTGTGCACGTCTTGAAATTCAGCCCTCTGGAGAAAGCAAAGGTAATATAAAAATACATTGCAAATGTTGTACTTTTTGTGCAAATCAGTGAAGAGGCTGTTCGGTGAGTTGTTGGACATGGACACCTTTGTGCGACACAGTGGAGGGGCTGTCATCCTCATTTAACTTTGCAGGTTTTCATCCCATGTAGTCAGCTGAGCTAGTGTTAGCTAGTCGGCTAACTGTGGCTACATACATGTTGCTTTTCCTCTGTTATCTAGTTGGCTTACCGCTCTGCTTTAATGTTGCTTAAAGAGCCTAAAGTCTCATTTGACAACATTTATTTAGCTCCAACAATAGCGTTTTTTTTCCCTCTAAGAATTTCCACAAAATGACCATCAGCCTCTCCTTCCCGGGAATCCGCTAACACTGTTCACTCAATGATCCTCAGCTATCCGAGCATGGCCGCCTGTCCATGATGGGCCTAGCTTGTTGCTCTTTAACTGTTGTCACATCTGCTACACTGTCACATGCTGCCTTCTTGCTAGCTTTTTGGTTATCTCTCATGAAATACCAAAACTATAAAATGTCTCATTTATTGCAGACGGGGTACTGTTTTTTTCCACCCCTTGCATTTTTTGTTCCAGCTTTGTTGCTCATCACGGTGCGTCCCAGCAGCATCCAACACGTGTGGATGTGGAGGATTGGAAACTGCAAGGGAAACTGTCAAGTCGCGTTCATTTTTTCCACAGACGACTTCTCTGTCGCGTTTTCCTGCTAATCTTTTACCAGGACAGATAAACTGCACCTCTCTATGTTGTAGTTTTGCAGCATAGGACAGATTGATGCAGCCACTAATTGCTGTCCATAATCAGATTAAAGGTTTCAGGCTGCTCTTCAAAAAGGTGTTATCTTGCAGCTGAATTGAAGCTTCCTTCAAAACTATAAATCTGTTCCATTTTGAGTGCATCTTGCAAAGATATTACGCTACAGCGATTTAAAAGGGCCCTTCATCTGACGGATGTTGCACAGTAGACAGTTAAAATTGTCCCTTTATTGCAAATATTGCAACATGTGGCGTTGTGCACAGATGAAGGAAACCTTCGCTCGTCCTGTATGCAGTCTGACATTGATCTTGCTCTTTCAAACTGGGGCTGCTGATAAATTTGGAGGCACATGTCGGGCTCTTTGTAGTTCATCTCATGCGATCCTTTTGAATAGCTTAGTTAGGTAAGTGCACGTGTGTTTGTCTCTGTGTATCCAACCTTACCCTTTTGTTAACCTTTGTGTGGATCCTGGTTCAGTAAAACATGTATTTGTAGAAATGACATTTGAGATTTGGGGACTTATTTTACCCTCAGCTCCAAGATAGAGGGGAAATAATTATGTTTTACACCTGTAAAATACCACTTTGAGCTCTTTTTGTGAAGGTTTTGAATGTGAGAGAAGGAGAAACTGAGCCTCAGCTTTAGTTTTGTTATTGTTGAACTGTGTATTTAGCGTTACATCCTGTCATTATAAATAATCATAGGACCTAGATTAAATCTGTGAACTCTTGAGATTGTGAGATTAGCACATAGGTAACAATGTAAAGGATTTGTCAACCGTGTTAAAGTGGGACACAGCTATGTGGTATTTTCAGTAACAGTTTAGCCTCATGGGTGAGCCTCAGAATTATGAATGGCACTCCTCAGGCACACACATGTATCTTATTACAAGAAAGAAAGGTGACCTGGGGAGGTTCACACGTAAATTCTGACCTTTTGGCTCTTTCAAAAGACACAATGAATAAAGGTAGAATGTCACTGGGATCAAAACCAAGGAAAAGGCAGGACTAGTGAGTACTCCCACAGTGCAGTTAGGAAGTTAATAATGAGTGCTATACATAGCCCATTTATTCAGACAAATAACAATCCCCCGGTTTGTTCTCTGCACAGTGTGATTACATGTGCACGTTAACATTTTCTATAAAATGTAGCCAAGTATCACACTCATTTTCACCAACAGTGACAGTTCATAGCGATGTTCTTTTACAGCAGTTTTGTTTTCCCCTCCAACAGATACTCACACATTTCTGTACACATACATAACTTTACATAATAGGAGTCAGAGTACTTAAAAACCGGTTTCTTGTAAACACTAAGTGCTGGACCAAAAGTGGGTCATGAAGTGATGGAATGGCGTTTCCTGGTTGTCCTGATGTAAGTGTCTTCAGCATGTTGCACCGAGTTTACTTTTGCATCTCAGACCACACAAGGAAGACTAGATGTTAACTGAAACAGTGATTGTGTTATTGGCTGATTGATGACTGCAGAAACTGTAGGTTCATCTGTCAGTGGATGTTTGTGTGTTGTAGTTTCTGGCTGGATTTCAGTTTATTGTGTCAGAAGTGTTTGTTTGATAAGTGAATAATGTTTTAATCTTGCCTTTTTGACCCATATTAAGACTCTTTGTGAGTTGTATCAGGTTTAATAAAATTTACAGGTTCTTTTGTGTGAATGCAAGCTATGTGAGTAATCGTAGTGAAAGGCCATAAAACTACATCACTGCCTGTAAGTGCAGACTAAAAGCCTGACAGATAACAGGCTGTAGCTCACTCTAGAGTTTCTGTTAAATGACAGGCTGGATTGATATTTTTAGTTCTGGTGCAAGAGCCTGAACTGTTAACAATTAAAGTGGAAGGGGACAGAACACTTGTCAAGTCTCTCCTGACTTGTGACTTTTTGGTCATTTTTGTGGGTGAAACCGTGGATATATCAGACTGATAGTTTCCTCCCTGAAGTTGGCTCAATTTTGAAGTAACTGTGGAAACCTGTGGAGGCTTATCAGCTGGCCTTTTTATTTTGTCTACAATTCATTAGCCTGGTACATCATTACATTTAAGTTTCTGGCAGTTTTGTACCATTATAAATTCATGTGTACAGATTTGTGTTTTTGACCCCTCCAGGTGGATCAGCAAAAACCCCAACCATAGCCAAGTCTTAAAACTAAAAAAAAAAAAAAACAGAAAAGTTGATTTGGCTCCCAGCGTAACTTTGTCCAGCTTAATTTGCATTCCCTGTGTGCTTTAAATTGGGAAACCACACAAAGAGCAAACCTTTTTGTTGTACAGAGTGGGCTAAAGCTCACTGCCACAAAAAAAGGTCAGTATTCCCTTGGACTGGCATCAGAAGAGGGTATTTGATCTGTTCTTCACAAGCATAGTAGTGCACATTCAGTGGACATAATGTCAGTGTGCACAGTGTAAGACCCAGGATCAAAAAGAGGTTAAACATTTCAGTTCATCCTCTATTGCTTGTCACAAAAACCCCAAACTGCTGTCAGGTATTCGCGTGACTTCAGAGATGACTGTCAGAATAATAGCACAAAAATGACACAAGTATTCATTCTGGCGTTGTTAACGCCCCGACCCGAAACTGAACTTGCTGCTGCAGCTTCACTCTGACCTTAAGACAGAGAGTTCAGAAGTGGAAAGTGTCGAGACTTGTGACACATCTTGATCTGGCAGTCTGAAGACAGGAAGCTCACGTACTGACTTCTTCTGTCTCTGAAAGGTTTCAATTCAAGCGCTCATATCAGTGAGAAGATTTTTTCTTTATGGACCAAGACCTCCTGTTTCACAGAGTTTTAGGTCAAGAAGAGTGTATAAAACCATGAAGAAAGCAAGACTTCCTGACTATGCTTGTGTGAAGACTCAAGAGGTCTGAAGAAGAAGCATGAATGCGCGGCCAGCAGCTTCACAAAGCTAAAGCAAACAAAGTCCTCTTGGTTTAAAAATGCATCCAGAATTTCAACATGAAACTTCTGTGTGATTGCAGACATTTATGAAACTGGTATTATAAGAAATGCTCGTCAACACATTGCCCGCTCTCTTGGTCTTTGGCTGCAGATTAATGATTGAAGAAGCAGGGTGATTTCTACCTCGTGTGGTTCTTTTCATAAATTGGGTGACAATAACAAATTGTTGCTGATCTCTGAGTCATTATAAGTGGGTTTGCTTGCTTGCATTCGGTCAGGAAGACCCACAAATGAATAAAACATACGAACGGAGATTTGCTGGAGCAAACTCCTCTTAGATTTTGTTACAAAAAGCCAAGCTTATTCTTACAATGTAGGCTCCACAATGGCAGCTATGATAAATTTTCTAAGTACCATTAGTCCAGATCAGTGTTTATTTTTGTCCTCACTTGGTGTTAAGTCTTATTGCATGCATTTAAAAATGCCTTTTAGTGCAGTTCCTCAGTTCACACTAACTCCTAAATAACGTCCCTGCTTTTGTGGCATTGCTTTCATTTTAACTCCAAGTGACATCCACGCATTCCCATGCTTAGGGTCTGAATTAATCTTTCAGCAAATGCATTATACAGTGGCTCTAAAGCATTCTCTGTAGGAAAACCTTTTACTATAGGATAAAAAAAAACACATTACTTTGTCAGTCGTTTGGTCTTTCTTTTGCAAAAGCCGTTTCTTTATGTTTGTTATCGTGAAAACAAGACTGTGAGGCAGCTGTATATCTCATTAATGTCTGTTTGGAAAAAGTTGAAAAGCGGAGGAAGAATTAAGACGAACAGGGATATTTTGGTATTTTAGGATTAGTGCATGGTATCTCTATGCTCCTCCTTCACCTCATACCTAGTGAAACATAATGGATAATGCTGTAATAATGTAAACAGGCTTATTTCTCAGGATATGTTTACAAGTATAACAGAGAGTGAGGCAAACTCTGGCTTTGCTCCAGCACTCTTGTTTGTGAAAGTATAGAGTGTAGAAATTGTAATATCGAGCGATTTTTTTAGGGGTTGGATTCTAACTGGTTCCCTCGCTCACCCCTTGTGTCACTGAGGGGACAGTAGCCTTGAAGGACAAGAAGCTCTTGTGATGCATCATGAGCATGATCCAGTCTTTACTATCAGAAAATCTGTTTCAATTCTGTCGTGTAAAGTTATCACTTTGTTCTTTGTCTTCGCACAACCGCTGACTGAGAACAAAATCACTACAGTACAGAAACATGGGAGTGTAGCAGCAGCCTTTGTGGTAGGGACCTGCTCTGATGTTGATCTAGAAGGCTCAGTGGAATGAATATGCACTCATTAAAACACTCTTACATAGGGCTGCGCGATATGGGAAAAAGTTTATCACGATATATTTTTTTCACATCAGTCGGTATCGATATATATCACAACATAAAAAAATGAAATTTAACAGTGCTTATTGGTAGCATGTCTTTTGCAGTAAAATAAGCTGCTGTATTTGTGAGGTCTTTGTGTCTCTTCGATATTTTGTTGTAAGGCGTTGCGCTAGAGAAAGCGGACTGAATGGTCGGCTGTTTTCGGTGTTAAGTTGCTATGGTTGTGTGTAGCTGCAGCCTGCTACAACGCAGTTGTTTGCTACTTGGTTCTAATTCAGCACATGATTGGTTCAGCACAAAGCAGACCCTGACAAACTCCCCTTTTCATCGGCTATATGTATAGTCTACCAAAACATGGCAGAATGCCAACTATCGAAAAGCATATTGACCATGTTTTATATTAATATTGAGGGAAATTAATTCTGGATATATATCGTCGTTTTATTGCCCAGCTCTACTCTTACAGTAACTGTATTCCCTCCTCTGTCAAGTCTGTTTAGCTAAATACTGTCTAATAGAGCTGCACCATAAATTACAAATTTATTGCAGAGAAAGAGGAAATTATTTGATGTGTATGGTCAAAGTGTGTTCCCACTCAGCGTGCACCTTGTACCTGTTAAATAAAGGCTATGCATTTAAGTTAAGTCTTAGCCAGCTGTGAACTATGCCAGTTGTTTTCCTACTGCTAAATACTGCACACCAAATTTTCAATTTTATGTCTTCTTGTTTTTTTTTTGTTTTTGTTTTTTTTTTTGTTCAACAAGCACGCCATCAATTGACTGTCAAACTGTCAGCTGTCTCCAGATAAGATAAGAGTGCATACAACTTCATGCTCCCCAGGAGTGTTTGCTATCAATACAAATATTGACCTAAGATAAGCCCTGCTCTTTCGGAGTCATGAGTAGCTGTAAAGTAAACGGTCACCTAACAGTTCCAGGTTTTGTCAGCACCAGTAAATAACCTGTCCTATTGGTAACTTGTATGAGATAATGTTACAGCGCCCTTTACTGGAGGTATACAAACATACATACATATATAAAAGCCATGGTGTAACCTAAGGGCAGAACTTCCACCTTTTAACACTAAAACACTCACTGTTTCATATCAGATTCTTTGATTATTGCTATAGACCTCCTTTTATGGTTTACTACAAGAGAGGAATTAAATTCAAGTGCTGCTTTTTATCTTTGCAATCTCTGTTTTGTGGGAGATTGAAAGATGTAACACAATCAGCTGTTTTCTCCCCCCTGGACAATAAGTCAAACCAGGTCATTAGTAGACTATACCCACATAGACTTGTGGGTAAATTTAGTCAATTGTGCTCACTCATCCCACTCAGTCTGACATGTCTCTATTAATTTTGTCTTTAGGGGCCTGTTTGTGCGTGTGTATTTATTTGAGGGTGTGTTGCACAGAGAAAGAAATGAAAGTATACTTATTCTTCTTCATCGCCCGGAGCAGGACATAAGGAAAATGTGTATGTGGACGAAATAGTGGAAAATCTTTTGCTGGGTGTGTTTCTTTAACTCTTACCTCTTTTCCTCTTTTTCTCGCAGATCGCATTAATGACAGTCACACTGTTCCCCATCCGTCTACTCATAGCTGCATTCATGATGCTGCTGGCTTGGCCTTTTGCCTTCCTGGCCTCAGTAGGGCGCTCAGAGACCACCGTTGAACCCCAGTGCCTCTGGAGAAGGTATGCGCTTTTTAAAGTGTTTTTTCTTTTCTGTGTGTTTGCGTGCTTCTGCGGCCCATTTTAAACATGCAGAAAAATCCTGGAAATTTACACTAGACTAGCTGTACGTGTGAAGAGCCACATTTTATTTATCCAATCCAGTTGTGGATTGACAAACAGATACAAATACCAGATGTTTAGAGGGGAACAAAACTAGAGAGAATAAGAGAAAATGCTAAAACGGATTGCAAAATCTTACACTTGGACTATCGCAGTGCCTATTTGACTCCAAATGAAACCTCTTGACTTTCTCGCTGTGACCCCGTCGTCCCACAGGGAATGATTAATGCTCTGCCTGAGTTGGCATGTACATGTTAAGTCAGGTAAATTTGGGAGTTGGAGCTCTTCCACGTGTAAAATCCTCTCTTCTCAGGTGAACTTTCCTTATTCAAAGGGAACTTCAAACAAGTAACATTTTTAGGGTTTTTATGCATGAGCTCTTGAAGCTGTAACCTTCAAAAAGAATTTTGGCTGATCATTATCAGTTCGGGTTGGCAGGAAATTCAAGGATGAAAAGTTAGAAGGGACAACCAGCTTTGTTGATCGTATCGGTGTTTTGCCACACAGGTTTTTGAGGAGGGCCTTGATGCATTCTTACCATTGAAATAGATTTTACAAAGTTAGAGAGAAAATAAGTGATGTGTGCTTGTAAGAAGATGAATACATCAAGAGTAGCTACGAGGGTTAATATCATCCAGTTACTACTCTGGTCTGAATCCTATTCATAAGAGCTCAACCACAAGCGTCCTATACATGACTCATCTGTTGTTGTAAGAATGAAGCCAAAATTTAAAAAAACTCATACTGGATTAGTCTCCCTTGGCCAACTTTGCAAAATTTCAGTTGAAAATTGTGAAATAATATGTAACCCATGAAGAAGGTAAGAGGTTTTTTGTATTAAAGATTACTATTGGTTTTAGTTTATGCTTTTGGTTTACACATTAAAATACACCCTCTTGGTTTACAGTTTAACATGGGTCAACCGAGGTTGCTGATCACTTTTAAAATTAAACTTAATCAGCATTCCTGGTTTCTACATGGACTCTGAAAGGACTTCACATACAGCAGCTTTGGCTTGACTCAAACTCGGGTAGAAACCAGTGATTGTATCGCCATTCAACGTGCTACGCAGCCTACAGGTAGAATAGAAGATAACAGAACTCAAAAGGGCCATTTCTTTATTTTGTGATGGCCACCTAATAAAAAACTAATTTACATGTATTTTAACATCATCCTTGACTCCTGTGGTTGTGAGATTAAGAGTATAATGGAGCTGAGATGTGTAATTTGTTAGAAAATACAATACTGCCAAGTGGCGTTGTTATCTCATATTAATCGGAGCCACTCTAAGCTGTGATAGTTCAGTTGTTTGACCCGCTGCTCTTTTCGTACTATTGTGTAAGACTATTTCCAAGAAGCTCCCACTGCAACAAGAGGTCTCCTCCAGTTGAACACTTGTCTCAACAAGCGAAGAGTAAAAATACTACCTGAAAGGTTAATAAACATGCAGGTGAACAGTGTTGTTTTTTCAGCAGAGGCTTGGATGGAGGCAATGTGTGGAATTAGATGTGTGTGGAGGCAGGTAGGAGAGGTTATTGAGAACAGTAATAAATGTTTCCTTTAACCTGAAGGACGGTTAAATTGGGGTGAAAAAGGACACGCAGGTGAATGCACACCTATTTGCAAGCAGAAAATAATCCAGGGTACCAACTTTCAAATGTCCCTTTGGGCTTGAGAGTACAAACTGCTCAGCGCAAGTGCCAAGTGAAATTTATGCTCACTTGTGCAAATGATGTGATGTCTGCTACTTAATGGCTTTCTACACAGATCTTTGGTCTGATTTGATTTCTCTCAGTGACAGTTTAGCGTTTGACCTAAGCTGCCTCTGTAGAAATAGGGTCGTTCTGTGAAGCACAGGCAGATAATTAATAAGGAAAAGGTACCTCGCAACATTTAAAAAATGATCTAATTCTTGGATAATCTTTGATATTTTTAGCTTTTGTCACTGCGTAGCACACAGATCCTATTAGTATCAAAGGATAGCATTTACCCCACACAGTCCTCTGCTTCGTCTCGGTCATTGTTTTATTCTCTGTTGTTCAATATCAAAGATTATATCCTAACCTGCAGTTCAGATGATGAGTTCTTCTCACACATGCCTGATCTTCTTTGCAGACTGGTGGACATAATTCTGAAGATCATCATGCGGGTCATGTGGTTTGCGGGAGGCTTCCACTGGATAACAGTGAAAGGGAGGAGAGCGTTGCCCGCAGAAGCACCAATCCTCACCTTGGCTCCGCACTCTTCCTACTTTGATGCCATTCCAGTCACGATGTCAATGGCCTCAATAGTCATGAAGGCGGAGAGCAAGGACATACCTCTCTGGGGCAGTGAGTATCAAACACAGACAGGATGTATTGCTGCCATTCTCAGTTTTATGTCTATCATTTGAATTGTGAAGGTGAGTAAAAGTGGTCTAACAAATCCAGTGAGTGGTCTTGAATTTTGGACATCTATTTGACAAAAACGGTGTGTCTACTACTCAATCTATGAAACCCACGTCTAGGTTACAGGAAGTTTCGTCAGGTACAGTGTTCACTCAGTGTCAAAACACTGTCTGTCAGGTATGACGCTGTTGGTTAAGAGAGGGTTTGCCCGGCCACCTATTCAGATATATGTTGTCTTGAGTTGAAACCAAGGACACATTGTGTAATTGTCACAGCAGTGTAAAGTAGGAAATGTATAAACACACAGAAATAGACCTGCCTGCATGTGTAAGCTGTCGTTCTTTCCAGAAATAGCACAACTGATATGTCAGCTCTGACTCTGCAACGTATTTCTTTGAAACATTTATGACTGTTTTCAACCTTGAGTTGTGCGGTCTTGTTATATGTTCCTGTTAACAATGTCCAAGTCAAAGAGTCAGGGTAAGGCCAGAGGTACACTTGCTGTGTAGCTGTTGATGTGAGAGTGTGTCTTTTACAGCCAGACTGTGATGTGGTTGCACTCTTTACACCCAACCATGTGGACAAATGATTATTTTCTCAATAGGAACAAGTAGGCAGAAAAGTGGACATTCTGAGTCTGGAATAGTTTTCTTTTCAGTTCTTTTGTTGCAGCAAATCCACATTTAGCAGTTTTCCTCCATGCGACTGTATGTCCACAGAGATTATTTACACGAGCCCACTCTGTCTGTGAATATTTAGTGTGTTGAACAATTTGTATGCCTCTGCATGTTCTGCAGCTTTGCTGAACTATTAGTTATATTCGTTATGTTGTTGAAACAATATGATTCAGGGGGGAAACAAATTGTATTGTTTTCATTGTAGGAAAAATCTTTTTTTTTTTTTTTTAAAGGAGCAATTGAAAATCGATCGCTTACATTTCCAAAGCTGGATCAGAGAGAATACTATGAGTTTACATCCCTAATTTTTGATCATTGTTAGCTGACTCTGGACATTAGTTTTGCATGTAACACCTGAAATGTCTGGGAAAACTGTTCCAGTATTACAGTAAGGAGGAAAGCAACATGACCAAAATTTTACCGAAATCTCAAAGCTCCTGCATTTTCTGTTACAACCCACATCTCTAACTCAGTTTTCTTTTGTTATTATCTACCTGCTATCATCGCCACATTTCTGTTCAAGGATGACTGAAAGCAGCTAACCAAGGCTGGTGTCTTTGCGCCATGTAAACACTCAGGTAGAGGTCAAATGGGCCATGCTGTGCTGCAGCCAACACACACAAGTGTAACAGCAGATCCTATTAACTTACTTGCAAGTTCAGTTACCTGTCTAGTTGCCAGTTTAGGGATTTGGCCTCTTGGCCCTGGCTGAAGGATATACTTAAAAAGGCAGAGGTGTTTGTTATTTTAGACTCCCTGCCTCCTCCCTCTGCGCCTCCTATTAAGTCATTAACCGGTAACTTTGTTACCTCCTGTTTGAGTCACTCGAAGTAAATTGCTTGTATTGCAGCATAAAGACACTATATTAAGGTACATTTGGTCATTCGTATATATATATTTTTTACATCTTTTTCAACAGCAAGTAATCAAGAACAGACGATAGTTTAGGAAGCAGGCATCAATGCCTGACCAAGCAAGTGGTATCCAGAATAAGCATTAAGGCCTGATCAGCCACAGTGACGTGTGTCGAGTGTCTCACAGAGCACCAGCTAGAGCCCTAATCCTTTTCTGTCGCAGACAGCTCTCAGTGGGAATCAATTTCTTCTCCAGAGAAGAGTGGCCTTGTTCTCCACCTAACACTTGCCTCGCTCTCCTTTACTTGTTGCAGCCGTTTTTGCTCTGATGGTCTATTTCATGGCCTCCACAAACTTAGCTTTTTGCTCCATTACTTTTACCGGTGAAGATAGGAAAAACAGGGAAATGTGATAGAAATCTTGCTCATAAAATAAACCCACTTTTGTCTTTTCAGACTCTTTTTCATGTCCTAGGTACCCACAAACAAGGTTTGGGGTGTGTTGATTGCATCATACATGGCTGATGGCAATCCACCAATAAGCCCCTTACCACTGCAGCACTGTGATTGAAAAGTTGCAACCACCCACGCCTGGCAATTGTCCCTTTTTTGAGTCCAGGCTGCATTTAACTCCTAGATCAGCGTGAGTCATATGTTTGACTGTGACTCAGGTTTCGAGGCCTTTCTTTGTCATTTGTGTCGGGGAAAGATCTGATCTCCACACAGTATGAGTAAAACTGATCCCCCTGTTTGTATTCAGATATAAAAGCCCAGCCTCCACAAAGGTCTGTCCTGCTGGGCTGCTGCCTGCCTAAAGGTCCTTACACACCAGGCGTGAATTCGCCAGGCGAATTATTCGCCTTTTTTTAAAAACAGCATAAAGTCAATGCAAGCTTCCACACTGGCAGCGATTTTCCCGCGGGGCGAAAAGCGTCTTTTATTTTTTTCGCTCTTGTGTCAAATTTTTCTTAGATTCGCAGGCGAATATCTGGACCTGCTAGACCTCTGGCCAATCAAAAGTCATGTTGTTGATGACGTCACAGACCCATGCGGCTGCAGTTCACATGACACACACCACCACTGGCACCAAGAGCAACGATGGGAGGGAGTGTGTACCACAGAGTGGTTGCCCAATGTGTATAAGCGAAAGCGATTTTTCGGACCGGCGAATATTTTCGCATTTTCGTCTCGCTTTTTCGCTTCGCTCCACAAATTCGCTGGTGTGTAAGGACCTTAAGAGTTAAACACAGCGGATGGCAGCAGAGCAGGTTGTAAGAATAAGACACCACTGCTTAGTCCCAAGGTGGTTCAGTCAACTTCACTGTCACATCAGCGGAGGAGAAACCTCGACGAAGCAGACAGACTGTAGTCTCACTGCTTTGTTGTCATGTGAGGAGGGCAGATACTTAAGGCATTATCTTAGTATTGTGGTAGACATTGTCAAACACCATTTAGACTTTGGCCAGCATGATGTGAATGTGAGGTATAAAGCCGCGTTCAGACCAAACGCGACCAGGTCGCGTCGCGTCGCGTTGGTCGGTCAGGTCGCGTCGCGTGGTGCCCTGGTGTGTCAACACCGGGTCCAAAGCTGCAGTCGCAGGTCGCGGCTGGTCGCCGGTGACGTCATCCATGTCACTAGCTCAGTTTTCAGTTCATCAGTGCTGCCGCATATCTGTACATCCGCAGTAGACGCCGCCGGCGTTTATGGGTGCATGAAACCATCCGGAGGAGGACGGAGCTGGGTGAATTTCACCACTTGCTCCAGGAACTCCGCCTGGACGACGGCCGCTTCCAGCGGTACTTCCGTGTGTCGACGGCGCAGTTCGAGGACCTCCTCGCCCGGGTGGGAAGCAGCATCTCCCGCCTGGACACGAAATACAGGCGCTCCGAAACTGAGATGCTTCTTCTTTGGCGTTGCGGTCCCGGTACAGCCCGCAACCTACGTCGTATAGCACCGGGTGGTAGCTAACGGATGTGATTAACTGCTCCTCCATTGTGATTCTTCTTCTCCTCTTCCTTGTTTCGCCGGTTTGTTGACGTCAGCAGAGCCCTGATTGTCTGTCGCGGCACGGAGTCGCAGGACGCCAAGTCGCGTCGCTCCCAAAGTTCAAATATTTGAACTTTGGGAGCAGCGCGACTTGGCGTCCTGCGACCTCGGCGACGCGACCTCGGGGACGCGCCTTGGCGACCGGTCGCTAGGTGGCGTCAGGTCGCGTCGCAGGCAGCCGGCGGTCGTTAAGTCGCGTCAGGTCGCGGCTGGCCATAGACTTTGCATTGGGAGCCGTCGCCAAGTCGCGTCAGGTCGCGTTTGGTCTGAACGCGGCTTTATGCATATAAGATGGTTGTTACATCAGACTTTTGCTCACATTGTTGTGATTCAGTTTGAGTCTGTGATAAGAGCCGTACACACGATTGTACACGATGATCTGTTCTTCATATCAACAGTCTTCTATCGAATAAGAACAGACTGTTGCTTTTAGGGCCGTCTTAAAGGTCATGAGATGATAGCCTACCTACACACACCCAAAACCAACTTTTATTTATTTATTTTTGACACCAAATATACCAATATGGGCAGAATGACGTTGGTTATTGCTGTAATTTTCAGTATTGGTAAAGTTTCGGTTTATCACCCAGCCCTAGTAGTTCTTGACACAGCTGTGGAGTAAATTGCACATAACATTTTACTAAGGCCTCCTCTCATAGTAAACCAATTCAGTGTTCTGTTTATTAGTTCCTGTTTGTTGCTGTGAAGGTTCCTTCTTTTTCTGTGGCGAATTAAATTTGCAGACTCACTGGTCTTGAGAAAAATATTGAAGTTGTGGACTGTGGGAGCAGAATACTGAGTGTTTGTGGTAACACTGAGGTATAAATCAGGATGTTGCATCTGTGTTTTTGTCACACAGTGACGTTTCACAAGCAATTCTGGAGTGCAAAGAAAGGACAAGATAGTTATGTTGGATGTCTGCCACTGCCTTCAGTCCTTTGAGGATTATTTAGTGATGGTTTGGACATGTTGAACTCTTGTTTGCTTTAATGATATACTTTTCGATTTTGAGATATTCTGACTGTTTACATAACATCTTTTCCTCTTTTTTTATTGACTTCTTGGAACATCTTTTTTCAGTGGTGTCCTTTCATTAGCAGTTGTACTAAGTATGTACTCAGAAAACAGGCCTTTCAGTCAACAGTGCTCACTGTCATATGAATGTAACATTAACAGAGAAGTTTCAATACAGCCATTAGTCCACTCATCAGCACTGTGCCGCTCTGTGGTGGAGTGAAAGTTCAAATGAGGTGCTTTGATTGAGGACACCATTAGAGTGGTTTTTGATGTGAAGAGGAGCTTAGCTCTCTTCCATGGCTGGATTTTCTGAGCTGATACAATACAGTCTTTGTGTTTTTGAATGCATTAGACTGTTTCGATCATTATATTTGTTGTTTTAGGTAATACAGTCTTAGCCTGTTTCAAGAGTTTAAGTGTAAAGGTCTGAGTCACTGTTCCCCCACCCGTCTCACTGAACCACTAGATGCAGCTGATGTAGATAATGCAGTTAGGAATTAGATTTTTAACTGTCAGAAGAAATAAAAAAAAGTCGACTTCCTGTATTCATTTGCATTTCCTCAATCTGTTTTCTCTTTCCTCTGATGCTTCCAGCTTTGATAAAGTACATCAGGCCGGTGTTTGTATCGCGGTCAGACCAGGACTCCAGGAAGAGGACTGTGGAGGAGATCAAACGCAGAGCACACTCAGGAGGGGAATGGCCTCAGGTAAAGGAAACCAAAGTGCACATGTACACTTGTGTATCCTGTTGTAGACGCACAATTATGCGTCAGTACCTGAATTTAGCCTTTACAGATCTTACTTGAAAAAAGATACAGAAAGACTGTGAGCCAAAGAAATAGCACCATGGCACATTTACAATGACCCTTGATTATGAAACCGCATGATAATTATCATAATTATTACCACTTTGATGCATGAGACAAGTGGAGCTTACTTTTTATTAGAATATGGACCATATGGCTAAAAAAAAAACCCACATTTTTTTTACATTGTTTAAATCTGGATCCTGGTTGATCATATATCCAAGATGTGATTGGATCTTAACTCCTTAGACCACATTCAGAGATAGTCTGAGCTCTCACTGTTTCAGTTCACTCGTGTGTCCTGTGCCATGTTGGTAAACCATCGAGTTTCCACACAGAAAGTCACCATAGCTGTGATTACTGTGTGACAGGCCAATGATAGTTATTTTGTCAGAGTAAAGAAGAGAGCGGAATATATATTGTGAATGCATCCGTCTGGTTTGTCAGTCTGTCACCAGTCTGCATTGTTGTTCACACACACACACACACACACAGATATGAACATGGACTATTTTTGTCAAACATCAACACTCATATTCATCTGATCACTTGCTTAGTATCCTCAGGACCTCTCTTTTCTGCTTTACTAATGGAAGTATCACACTGTTTTTCTGAATTATGCACGAGTAAGTTATGAGTATGATGGTTAGTTTCATTTGTGCCTAGAGGCTGTATATGGTGTGACTAGTTGGGACCATAGACACATTCTCATGCCAGGTGTGACTTGATGTGCTTAGACTGTGCTCTTGTGGGACCCTCCCCAACACAAGTAAATACCAAGTGTGCACAGGTTACAATTGACTTACTTAAGAGTAAAATCTAACTTTGAGGAAAACACTGTCCAAGACTTGAAACACTGAAACACTTGATGGTTTTGTTATTTTTTCACTGTTTGAGGGTCCTGTCCTTACTGTTTAGGAGATGATGTCTGTCTCTATATAATAGGAACCACTCTGTCTTTCCTGCAGATCATGATTTTTCCAGAGGGAACATGCACCAATAGATCCTGCCTAATCACCTTTAAGCCAGGTAAAGCTCTCACCTTCAGCGTTTTATTCAACTTTCCTTTCTTTTGATCTCATGCTGCAAGCTGTTTACTCAAATCATGTGGATATTAGAAAGCATGCATTTAAAATATCTGCTATTACTAAAATTATTACTGTTATTCTCACGGTTTGAATTATGATTTTTTTAATCGTCGTGTTGAAATAAATATCCCTGACACATTCAGTAAATATTCATAAAATAGGGTTTTGTGTTCTTGTTCTCAGCTCATTTAGTCTATGCAGTTGTGTGAAATCTTTTGTGTTTTACTCTTACAGGGGCCTTCATCCCAGCTGTACCAGTGCAACCTGTAGTGATACGTTACCCAAATAAACTGGTAAGCTCGCCCATGGATACATCAGTAATACAGCATACCAGTGTTTGAAACCGAAGGGGAAGAGACTACACACATTTGCGTTAAAAAGAATCTCTTTAATTAAGTGCCATTTTTTGTCCCTTTCGGTACACCGTAGTTAAGCCATCACTCTTGCCGATGAGAAATAATTGAATGGCATATTACACTCAAAATCTCCGAAAGTCTCAGTTGACAGATCTAAAGAAATATGCACTCAGTGTCCAACGCATTAAAATATCAACAGAGTACTTTGAGTTTAAGCCACCACCTACGAGATAAACATACAGGTGCAGCTGATCAGACACAGAAACTGGCAAAGCACTATAGTGGAGTCTGCAAACCACCACAGACCTAACATTTGAATGACGTACTCAAGGTATGTGCAGTTCGTCTGCAGAAATGCCTTACTACTGTGGGGAACATGTGTTTGACTGAAAAGTGCAAATGCTGTCCCATTCACTGGAGATCACATGACATCAGTGAGTAATGACAATGATCTTGTAATAATAATATAATAATAATACATCAACACTGATTTAACATTTTGTATCAGGGCTCTTACATAATATGCTACAGTGAAGCTGTAAAAATAAACATTTGTTTTGCTCAGATGAAGCACTTAGAACATTAATTTGATTTTCAAATCAAGACAGTGGCAAGAAGTGCTTTGAACTGTTAATACGGACAGGAGAAAGCAAAATAAGGAGATCTTAAACCTATTTACAAATCAGTTAATCAGTAAAAGTAATCTTGTTGTATTTGTACATTGTTGTCTGCATGTCGTTTCATACACATCCTGAAGCTGGCTTGGCCTCCTGCCAGAGTCTCACTCTGTAGGAAGGTAAACATACAGCAGATCACCTGATGGGGTGAGAGATATTGCAGATATATTTAGTGTCCATGAAAAAGAAAATGTTCCGGGCAATACAGAAGCATTTTACATACTCAGCAGAATCCCAGACAGTCCTGTGAAATGTGCTTTCAGTCAGTTCTTGCGGTCACATTGTGAGTCAGGTAATGCTCCGCTCATAAGTACATTTGACTTTTTCTTTTTTTGCACCTGTCAAAAACTTATATCATTGCACCTCACCTTTTTTAAACATACTTGCGCACAATTGGCAAGTCATGTCAAATGCTCATTTTTTAGAGGAAAAAAAAAAGGACCATTAAAAATACAATCTGCACCATCACAAATAACACTACAAATGACTGTGCGGACTCCACGTCAGTCTGTTTAGGATTTTAAGGCAGTTTCGACCAGTAATTATGTAGATACATGTAGCTATGAGTACATGGGCTTCAAGTAACAGCAAATGTAACATCGGCTGCATTATTTATTTATCATTTTCATCTGTTCATCTTATTTCTCAGTTACATTTGCCTTCTGTTCTATTGTGCCTCACAACAGCCTAAGGCCAGAATTACACATAGGTAAAGCTTAAATTGTGACAGTATGACTTTGCCTGACAAAAGTTTTAGCAAGTTTATGCCAACAAATGAAGTTGTTGAAGTCCAGTTTTGAGAGGAATTCAGTGAAGTGTGCAGAGAAACTTTGTGATGGCCTGACTGGGAATCTTGCTAATCATGGTGTGACTCAGAAGGCAAGTCCAGGGCTGTGCTCAGGCTTGTTGTTCTGGGGTGAGCCAGTGTTAGCCAAGGACACGGTGAAAAGGAATTATGAGGTTTTGTAAAATTCAGATCTGTGCTGGTCACTGTTGTAGGTGAAATTTATATAAAGATGCCTTACATTATTTAAGATTTGTCACAGTAACAAAATGCATGACTGTTATGTTAAAACAACCTTCATCACTGACTGTACTGTAAGCTGATACAGGAGAGTCCCCTGTGTGCATGGTGGAGCTTTCAGATGTTAAAGCATGCATATTAGGGCCCGACCGATTTACAGACGAGCCAATTGAATCGGCCAATTTTAGCCCGTTTGAGACTAATCAGTAATCGGCCAAAATTTTCGCCGATATTTTCAGAAATAAAATGCAGAGAATAAGATTTGGTTTCACTTCGAAAATGTTCCACCATTTGAAAAGTTCCCCGACTTATCCAGTAGGCACAGCCACCTCATGACAATCTTCATCCACTTCATCGAATGGTCCGCCTCAACGGTAAATAAACTAGTTTGTGAAATGCACAATAAGTCAACAAGTTTCAGTTCAACCCACTTCACGATGTTCCCTGCTGTGCTGGTCTCGGTCACGCCGAGTTAACAGTGAAGCACCATGTAATATGCAAGCTAAAGTTAGAGTTAGCCGTCTGCTATTAGCCTTGCTACACTGTTAGCCGTGCCAGTAATCGAGCTACTACTCTTACTGAGGCAGCTGCATGTCTCCAGATTAGACCGGACCGGGAATGAGTAACGTTAGTTAAGACGCACCGATCGGCGGTTGAAAAGTAGTTTTGTGGTCCGAGTCTGATCAGTCGGTCTTCCTGACGGCTTCAAGAGCAGTAGCCTACCGTAGATATCTACAGCATATATATATATATTTTATAACTTAATAACAAATTCAAAAAATTGGCCGATTAATCGTAATCAGATTTTCGCCCCCCAATAATCTGTATCGGCATCAGCCCCAAAAAAGCCATATCGGTCAGGCCCTAATGCATATTGGCATGTCGGATCGATAACTGATCATTATCATCTTTAACTGCCCTGGTTCTGTTGAGGTCTTCAAAATTTTAGGTTCTTTGATTCTTTTTATTTCCACATGCCTCACAATGACGCCAGGTCTGTTTAATATGACGCTTAATCTGTTCAAAATGACTGAAGCTCATGAAAAATAAGATCTACCATTATATTTCTAACCAAATCTGCATGAAGCAAAATAGAGAGAAAGTAGCGGTGGTCAAGTAACAAAGAAAGTATGTGCCTCCACTGAAAACAATTTATTTAAACAGATAAATAAGATGATTTATTTTTTTAGCTGGTTCGCACTGGTTACTCTCTGCGGACAGAGAAGTCCATATTCTGGTCATAAAAAAATCAAGACAGGTTCAGGATTTAGTTTGTTTTCTGCTCTCGTTGTGTATTTCCCTGCCAACTGTGTGTGTCTTTCTGCTCAGTCCCCTGTCACAGCCAGTACTGTACTTCCTGTTCTCATTCACCGGTCTGCAAAGAATGAGTTTTGTGTTATTTCTGCTGTAGTATTTAACAAGGGGGAAAGTTCGGCTAATGTCTGTGGCAGACTGATGGAGAGCAGAAGACAGAAACAGCAATGCCCCCTGGTTCCCACATGTTTTTCAGTCTCGACCTGCAGACTGAAAAAGCCTTACACCACTGCACAAAAATAACAGATTCAAAGAGCACTTAAAGAAAGTGCTTAGTTTAGCATCAATTATTTCTAAGAGGTAAGGATGTGGTTGCTAAACCGTCTTAAAACCAGTATTTCAGAGTGATCAGCTCAGGCAGTGCATAACAACTTTCTGCCTAAGTTTTCAAGTTGTTTGTGCCCAAATACGGTTAAATAGAAAACCTTTCTTCTCAGAAACAACTAAAAGAAGAAAGTTAAGATGAGTCTAATAGTGTTTTCTGTATTTTTTGTTCTTATCTTTGACTTTGTGTTTTTTCCACAGGACACGATCACATGGACGTGGCAAGGGCCTGGAGCGTATGTACACTTTTTCCTAATTACAGCTTGCTTTAATAAAAAGTGTTCGTTCATTCTGTGAATTATTGTAAATAATTTAGTGTAATAAACATTCAGTCCTTAGTCATCAAAGTTCTCCTCACAAGCCAGTGTCACAGTGTAGAAATGTGTCATCGGTTACATTTTACAGCTTAACCTCGAGGCTCCTCCTTTTAGAAACGAACTTTGTGGTCTGAACCTCAACGATTTCAACAATGAGAACTCAAATAGACAGGAAGCAGATTAGTCGTGGCTCCAGGAGAAAGACTGGCCTTGTTATCAGTCTCTGTGGTGTCCTCAGAATACCCTGTCCTGTTTTGGTTCAGCTTAATCGTTTTAAACTGTCTTGTTATGGCGTGTACTACAACTTGGGAGAACATGATGCTATTCAACTGAAAGCTGAACATATCAGCTCAAAGTTTGTATGTCCCAGTTACAAACATGTGATCATACTTTTGTCATATTGAGATCTTATGTGAGCCACAACAGTGTTCGCAAACTATGAAGTAAAGTTATTCCTGGAGATAATGAGATTAGTGCCAGATTAATAAATTTCTTTAGACACAAATCTTTAAAGCTTTTTTTTGTCTAGATTTTTACATTTGTTGTTTAATGTTATTATCCAGGTTTGAAATCTTATGGCTGACGCTCTGCCAGTTGCACAACGAGTTTGTGATCGAGGTAAGAAAAAAATGAGTACAAAATATTTGTTTTGTTTAACAGAGTATTAGGGCCATATTAGGAAAAAAAATAGACTTAGAGATTAAAGTCGATACTTATAATAAGGTTGTGCTGATGTGCCAAAGGATTAAGTATCTACTTGTTTGAGAAACCTATATTGAAGCACAGTTTCATGAAATGCTCCATGGCTCTCATTTCAACAGCTGTCATCTTAAACAGCAAGTTAGAATATAAGGACTTTATTCTGACTTTACTCTCGCAAGTGATTACTTTACTATGACTTAATTGACGTAAGTAATTACTTTGGTCTCATAGATTAACGACTTTAATCTCAAGTCTTAAATTTTTTTTTTTCTTAATGTGGCCCTAAAACTCTGTCGTAGTTTAGCAATAACTTGTGTAACTTGTGCATTGGAATTATTGTATTGATGGCCTCATATATAGATGTTTTAGTTGAGAAATAAAGCCACAATTGAAACTATCGTCCCGTTTGACTCACTGTGTCTAGCAGTGCCAATTTTTTTGGCATTTTGTATTCCTCTTGTAATATGATATCATGATGTACCACTGCAGAGGTTGTTCAGCAGTTACTCAATCACAGAATTGCTGTTGCATGATCTTATCATGAGCAGTGTATCTCAGCTTACCTTGCCTTTCCTTCAGCTCCCCTTTGCATCCTGCATGTCTTCACAAGACTCTGGATCACACCCTTTTAAAATGACTTCACACTAACTATTCAAAACTGTTCAAACATGTGACTCTTCAAAAGAGACTTTTATACTTCATGTTTTTTCTCTTTTTTTGTATCTCTTTGAAGATGTTAAGTTTACCCTTCTGGCTGTCTCTTTCCAAACTTCTCAAATTTATCATTTGTTTCCTTGTTTTGTTTTAAAAATGAATCTTCATCTAATTTCATGCATGAGAAAGATTTACCGTCCCAAGTAAATGGACTATTATTTTTCTGCAAATGAAGTGCCCAAACAAAAAAACAAAAAGGTTTGATTTATGAGATTTGGCTAATAAAACACCTTTGGCTCTCTGCAGTTCCTTCCTATCTACACACCCTCAGAAGAGGAGAAAAAGAACCCGGCTCTCTTTGCCATCAATGTGAGGCGTGTCATGGCAAAGTAAGTGAAAAAGTATTGTTTATGTAATATGTAACTGTTTGTCCCTTTGGTAACACTTTATTTGACGGCTAGCTCTATAACGCTTTATAAATACATGTATAATGTGTTATAATCATGTTGTAGCACTGTATAACTATAGTTATAAACACTCATAAATGATCATAATGCTTCATAGCAATAATCATAACACATTATAAAGCATTTTATCATGACTTACAAGGTCAGGTATTATAATGTGTTACAACTGTTAACAACTCACTGAGAATGTCCACATAGATAATGCAATTCAACTGTTGTTAACAGTTATAACACATTATAATACCTGACCTTGTAAGTCATGATAAAATGCTTTATAATGTGTTATGATTATTGCTATGAAGCATTATGATTATTTATGAGTATTTATAACTGTAGTTATACAGTGCTTTAACATGATAATAACACATTATACATGTATTTATAATGCGCTATAGAGAAAGGCGTCAAATAAAGTGTTACCGTCCCTTTTATTGTCATGACTTAACCTAAAGCATGATGCATAACAATAGTGTGTATTCCAACAACACCAATTGTTCAAATCTTCTTGAATTCAGAGGGGGAAATGTCACAGCACATTGTTTCTTTGTGTTTGGGTGACTCTTATTTTCTCTGTCATAAAACTGTGTGTTCGTGTCTCTTGTTCCCCTCTCAGTGAGTAATCATCATGCCTGAGATCACGAGTGTCATCCTACTTTGAATAAGACTCCTGACCTGCTATTTCAAATACTGTATCATCCAACTTTGTTCTCCATTTCGAGTCTTGTATAAAGTAGTCAGATTAAACAGACTATACTTACCATCTGTTTGCTCAGACACTCCTACACTCTGCACTTCACAACTGAAAGAGTAGGTTTGGAAACTTCACCTCTACAGTCTTATGAAGAAAAATGACTCGTCTCTCCCTTACGTCCAAAGTAGCCATATCCGCGGCTGCACTGTCCTTTATAGGCCTCAGGCAGGTATCGATTTGCACATACTGATGTCCTGCCATTGTCTCCTCTGTGCTGTCTTCAGAGCCCTAGGGGTACCCATCACAGACTATTCATTTGAAGACTGCCAGCTTGCCATGGCAGAAGGCCAGCTGAGACTGCCAGTCGACACCTGTCTACTGGAGTATGCCAAGCTCGTCAGGAGACTGGGGTGAGTCATTTATAACTTCCAGTGTACTCCTACCATTACAGAAAAGACAAGGAAGAGAGGGATGGAAAGGTGAGACGGGGCAAAATGATCACAAAGCACCTCTGGGACCTGGATTTAACGCTTGGCCGTAGGACCCTCTGTGTAACAAACACAACCAGTCGTGTGCACAGGTGGGAAGGCGGTCGGAGATTTTGTCCTTGTCACTGTTTCAGTGGCTCCCAGCAGTTGTTCAGGTGCATGTAGAGGGGGAAATCTGTGGATGGGGATAGTGTGATCTCTACACACGATACAGTTTTTGTTGAAACCCCTCTACAGGACTTTCTACTCCCAAGATTTGTCCTCTTCTTCCTTTTAACTGCCTTTTTTGCCTAATCTCCTTGTCGACGCTTTAGTGAATGTATTTACTAACAAAGTCTCATGCTCTGCTGTCACAGGCTAAAACCCAAGAACGCTGAAAAAGTCCTGCAGGAGTATGGGAACAGAGCCAGGAAGTTAGAGGGGCAGAAGCTGGGCTTGGACGACTTTGCCCAGTTCCTGGATGTGCCAGTTTCAGACATGCTGCGAGACTTGTTTGCTCTTTTCGACGAGGTAAAGACTGGAGGGATTTTTCAAGAACTCGTCAACAGTTTGTGCATGAGTTAAGGGCATGACCCCAAAACTGAAAAGCTTAAACAAACCACAAACTGAGTTCATCACGTAGTGTTTTTGTTCAAACATCTTCAAGACTGGAAGCAGAACTAAATACTGTATGCTTGTACGAAACTTAATCACAACACCTTGTTTTTCAGCGCAGCACCCAAAGGGAGCAATTAAGGTTTTAGTGCAGCAGTTTCTGTGACCTTAACAAAAATCTCTTACAAACTTAGCAGGCTTATATCTTTGGTGGCTGTCTTTCTAAAAGAATTGTTTTCTGTTTGTTGTTTTCCAGCATGAAGATAACTGCATTGATATCAGAGAATATGTGATAGCCTTATCTGTCGTATGCAGACCTGCCAAAACTCTGGAAACAATGAAACTGGCCTTCAAGGTATGTCCTGTTGCAGACTTGATGCTTAACACCTGGCTGAGTAGAACTTCCTGTGCGTCAATCGGACTAGTCTCGACACTTCATGTGGTGCATAACACAGGGCTGATTTGTGACAAGTATTGGTCATATTCACACATTTTTCTACATGGCTGTGAACTCAGATCTTCTCTTCATATCATCAGGTTTAAATTCGTTCAGTCATTACTCTGAAAGTTGAGGAAGTCTGTTGATCTTACGGCTCGATTGAGAAAACATGATTTATTTCTAACATTGCCAGTGCGTTTGAAAGTTCAGGTGAACTGGCAGCTCAACTGATAACCGAGTCAGAGCAGCATCCCCAAAGGCAAAGTCAAAGAGATGACCATCTGCATGCTTTACTGTTGTACCTTCTCCAGATGTTCGAGGCAGAGGAAGACGGCGCCATCACAGAGTTGGAGTTGGCAGTGATCCTGAAGACAGCTTTGGGAGTAGCTCGCCTCAGCGTGTCACGTCTGTTCACTGCCATTGATGCTGAAGACACAGAGAAGATCACCTTTGGTAAGATGCAAAATAAAAAAAATAAAAATAAAAACTTACTGTTTATTTATATCAAAAAGTTTAGTTTCCTCTTTCTTTTTCATTGTGAAACATTAGATTGAAAGTTGGTGACTTCTAATTCTCAGTGCTGCTCCTCTCTTTCGATACCCGTTACTCATTGCGTTTGTCTCTGGCGCCCTCTTGTGGTCCTTCTACAGACAAGTTCAGGAGCTTTGTGGAGCAGCATCCAGACTTCTCTGAGGACTTCCTGTACACAGAAAACGCAGGCCTCCACAGTGGGCCCTGTCATGGCCACCATACAAAGCCCAGCCAGTCTTCCCTCAACCTGCATGGCACTGCCACCAAAATAGCAAACGGTATCTGCCCCGACTTCACTCCCAACGACCACGGCACAAAAGATGGACTCCACAAGAAACACAACTGAGAGGGTTTACAAAGCGTAGAGGCAGACGACTAACACCTCTCCTGGTGAGAGCGTGCAAAGTGAGCGAGAAGTTACTTGTCAATAAGTAACTGGTAAACAGTAAGGGATCACATTTCTGTTACTGCAACTATGAAGAAGTTTACCTGACCCTTTTTTATTCGTACAGTTTCCATGAAATTACTGAAGTTATTTTCAGCCTGGTCACAGATTATTTTATCTAAAGATCTTTTTTTTTTTTTTTTCCACATAGCAAAGATCGTCAAAATGCCAAACAATGGCTGTTTCAGATACAACGCTTAAATACTTGAAGGGCAAGCACTTAGAAAATTCCTGGGGTGAAGATGTTTTTCCATTTTTCCCCTTCAACATAGTGCTAACTGTGCATGTTTCTAACATGAGGGAGGCTCGAAAAAACACACAGCCCTAGATGGTCAAGTTTGAGCAAAATCAGTGTTTGATGCTTTTATTTGTAACTTTTATCTATTTCCTCTCTTAAGTGGTAGCTGCCTTTTAGCTGAAAGTGCAGAATGCATGGGCTCATCTTATTTTGAGCAGTATTGAGAATTGTTCATGTTAGAAGGAGGACCTAAGGGTACCGGTGAAAGTGTGACTCCTTTTTACCAGCCACATTTGAGGTGAACCCAGGTCTCTGTGGTTTGATGGTCATGATTTTTATGAGCCTGTTATATTTATATATATCTATATATATGAATATAAATATATACAGTGATATATTTGATTTAGCTCAGGGTTCAGTGACAAAAATGAAAAATTTAACTCGTATGATGTCATCATTTTTGACGCCCACTGGGTGACACGCATGTCTTTGTTTCTCAGTACTCTTCTCCCCATTCATTTCTCCTTCACACAACTTCATCAAAGTTATTCCTTTCAGGTTAGCAAAACCAAGTGTCTTTTTTTTAACTGTTCAAACTTCACAACGTGGACCAAAAATGCATTTCGTGATTCCATGTCACCTGTCATGTTAGTGTTCTCCACTCAGTGTAGTGGCTTTAAAAGGAAGTTTTGAATGTGTGACCACTGAAAGCACACTCACTTTGAAGGCGGTTCTCGGTTAACTTTAAAGGCACGGTCATACTACTTCCTTTTCTGCCTTACACTGCCACATTTTAATCATTCTTGATTTTTAACTTTTTTGGTCAAATTATCTATATTTCTGATGTTTCTGGATGTATTAAAGAATTAACATTAGACAATGGCCCCGCGGTCACATGTAAATTTAACCTTTTGGTTTTATTTTAGATGTGCACAACAGAAACTGTGCTTTGATTCACCTAACCTTGATCCGGGCACTGTAAATCCAATCTCAGAATTTTGGGCATGTCTTTAAGTGGAACTACCCTTGTGTGATTATGTTACAGCCATTTTTTCTTAACCCTGGTCTAAATGGCACAACTATACTTGTGTGTCTAAAGCGCATAAATCACCTCTTAATAAAAAAAATTTAAGATTTATTTCAAACAGGAAAATAGCGCAGCTGTACGGGCGTTTTTCACTAATTTTTGAATTATTGATTATGCATAGTCAGCTCAGTTGAAGCTATAAATATAATTAGTATTTTTTTACATTTTGACCAGTTATCTCGATTTTAAGAAACTCAACTTGAAATATCAGCCAACTGTTGAATGTTTTAAACAAAGATTCAAAGATGGTTGTTTCAATCATTTGCTGCCAAACGGCTAGTTTTTAGCCTCTGAAAGCAGACAAAGTCACATACAACTTGAGATTAAAACTTACAAAATGACCGTTTTGTTACAGCTCAACTGAAATCATACAGTGCTTAACATGATGTCATTTTATGGGATAATTTATAAAAGGGAATACCTCCTGTGAGAAGATGAAATGAAATGCATTAGAATCTTCTTTAAGCCAGTTTAAACTTAGATCTGAGCCTTCATGGCTTTATGTTGTTGTTTTTCTTTATGACTATCACACTCAACCTCGGTCAGTTTTTGTTTGTTCAGCTTATATTTCTAAGTTCATCGTGTCGGTGAGCCTCACATTCCTACCACTTTCATGACCTTGCATACTGTACGTGTGTCCGCGTTATGGCTTTCAGTGAAGCAATATTTCACATCTCTTAAGCCTTCTCAAGACGTATGCTTTTGAAGAGTTCTGATATGTATTTTGAATATTCCAAATGCAGGACATTTTGTGAATTTTTGATATACGTATATGAATGATTTTTATTTTCACTGCCATGACAAAGATCTGTGATCTTCTCTCCTCAGCAGATTGTATTGATGGTGAAAAATGAGCCACATTTATGTTTTCCTTTGTATAATACTGCGATTGTTTTGTGCTGTATTCCTCCTACACAGTGTAAAGTTTTATTGTTGTTATTATTACTGTTATTGCTGAGTTGACTGCTTAGAAACAAAATGCAGATTTCTAATGGAAACCGATAGCCTTGAATCTATAGAATTTTTATGCTAAAAAAGAGAATGTATAGACAATCTTGTCACAATCAGAAGCTCCTCAAAGCGCTGATCTGTAGTGGACATTTTCTGAAGAAATCCCAGTTTTCAAATGTTCACTTTTTATCCTCTTAAAACCCTCTCTTCATTGACTTTTTTATGTTTTATGTTCAAGTCGTGCAGGTTGAAGCACGCAGAGTGCAAGTGCTTATTATGTGTGTCAGGCCTTGAGGTGCAGTCTGCCACCACATGACGGGCCGCATCACACAGACACACCAGACAACTGTACGCACATACAAACTAACATCCTGTGTCAATCAACAATCTTTGAATATGTTCCCCCAAATGTTTGTTCAATTATATTTGTGCTTGCACTTTAGATTCTTTTCCTTTTATTTCTGAAAGAGATATCACATTGCTGTAAGGCATGAAAAGTTTGTAGGTTGCAGTAATGTAGCTAATTTTTATTAATTTAAAAGGTTTTTCTTTTATATATTTGCTACAGTGGAGGAGCACAGAGGAGTTTAGAGATATCACATTTAAGAAAGCTGTCCCTCGCCCAAATGTTTTTTTTTTGTTTTGTTTACTTGGTTTAAATGAAGACAGAGTTTTTCTAGGTTAAACCCACTTTTAAGACTTAATTTTCTGCTCTGTCTCAAGATTGTGAACATTTTATAGCTTGGAATGACTTTATAAACTCGGCAACAACAACATACAGATTTGAATGACTAAAATGTGTTTGCACCCTGGAATGGACAAGTGTTAAATGTAACCCTAAGTGATGTGATTTTACAGTCGGTGGTAAATATATAATTCACTCTATGTATGAGGGAAACGATATTCTTCTTTTGAACATTGGTGGGAAATCAGAGTTTGAACTGAAGGTGAAACAAAGAACTAGTTCTGAGACCTGGTCCTGAATGAAATGTATCGAGCCAATACTCATGCTGTTTTATTTCTTTGTTTGACACAGAAATAGGGATGATATTATTCTTCATCATCAAGATAAATATGTACATTTTTTATGTTTTAAACTGTTACATTCAGAACAATCTCACATTGGGGGCTGTATGAACAACATGGGACCTTTTTTCTTTTTCAACTTGTTTCACTTCCCTTTATCCAAAATACCTCCATAGAGGTGAAATTCATTTTTCTACTTCCTATCAATGGGGGAAAAGTTAACCTGCAAGAGATAAACTTGTATATTTATGCTACTGCTGCCTGCATACTACAGTTTGTCCAGCAGTGAGCCTAAGACGAAAGACTTGTGTACTCTAACAGAGCGATGTGTCTTTCTGATGGCTCATTGACCGTGGACCAGAAAACTGAACTCTGTTTTCTCTGTAGCTTTACTTCCTGTCTTTTTCTATACTCAACAGGTTTTATTTTATTAATGCATTTTGATTATAAAGAGTCATTACTGCAAGCTACTTTGAATTTGTCTGTTCAGGACTGCTATGATATAACTTGTTAATGTGACTCTTGGATTGAATTAAAAAAGAAAAGGTATCACACAGATGTGTCGCTGTCATAAGAGTGAGCGTTGAGGTGTTTGTTCGGTTGCAGTGACATCGAGAGGAAGAGGAGTGTATTGAATGCATGTGTACCAACCAGCCATACCATTATGAACACTTGGACAATCTAATGCAACCACATACAACAACCTTACCATAAGTTTTACATGTAAGAGGCTTCTCTTTTCAGTTCTGTTTGCATGGTCAGATAGGTGATAATGTCCTTTGAATTCATTGATGAAGTGTATCTAGGTTTTGGTGGTTTACAGGGGTGCACCTATTGACAAGTGAAACACCAACTAAAATGTTGCATAAATGTCTCCATCTTGAGGTAACATCATGTAGGTGCAGTGTACATCAGGTGTTTATTTATTTATGTCACAGGCCCACAAATTTTAAACAGGATCTTAGTTAAGTGTGACTTCTATTGGCAACATGACTCTATGCTGTCAATTTTGTAGAGTCAAGACATCAATGCTCCAAGTGCATGTCTAAACCTATAGATTATCTGACCCTCACATCACCTGTGAGCGGTGTGACTCAAAACCTACTCCTGAAATTTGCTGCTGTCTTCCTTAAATATGTGATGATTTTTTTCTCTATTCGTCTGCTTGCACCTACAGACGCAAATTATAGGCTTCTTGTTTCTAGTTTTGTAAAGTGATTAAGAAAAGCATATAAGTCCAACTAAGTGTAATGGTTTAATTTTCATGATTTGGGACAGAGGCAAACAGGCTACTGAGTCACCATGATTAAAAACTGTCACTTGTTGTTGCCGTTGTTTCTTTTGGCGCAATAAGCACGTCAGAATTACATTAAATAGCATCATCTACGACGTAGTTTAAAGTAGTCATAGTTTTATTGACGTATTCCTTACAAATACTGGCCAGATACTTAAATGAGATGCCATTAAATGAGGTATACAGTATTTTTACTTTGTCATAACCTCATTATTTATTTCAGATCACTGAACCAGGCACGGTATTCATACTGAACTGGTGTCGTCCATATTGTTGGTGCAGGATCTCATGGATATTTTTCTCGA